GCATTGCTATACAATATTAATCCTTTCTGGGCTGTCGAACCGTGACGTCACCTGATATGCCAGCTTGGCAGCTGAGCCGAGCAGTAGACCAAACATGAAGAAAATAATGTGTGTGGCTGTTGTTTTCGTGGTGTGTATCTAAAACAATTTGACATAACATTACACATTAAGACAAATATTATGGTTACTTTTACCGTCATAATAACATTTGTCCCTGACGGCAGCCTTTCTCTGCTTTAACTAACCTTGCATTTAACAACCTGAGCTAGACATCCTGGCTACACCAACATCTTCTAATACAACAGATCTCTAATCAATATCTATCTAACTAAGAAATTACCTAACAGCATGAAGACAAGATGCAAAGCAACATAATGAATGTTGTTCTAAGCATTGTACACAAAAGAATATATGCAGATGTAGCCTCTGTGTAATCACCAACATTTTGATTAGTAACTGCAACTGATTACAATTACATTTATTTTGTAATTTATTTGCAGTATTGTGTAACTAGTTACTCCTCAACATTGGCTGTAGCAGTATGACTTCTCTTTCTTGGAACTAGGGCTTTGTCAAAATCATGACGAACAGCCCCAGACTAAAAGTACAACATTGAGCTCTGAGCAAAGACAGTGACACTAACATTCATTTGTAGTCAAGTTTCTGACAAATGTGAGTTCACCATTCATTCTCCTTATAAATATTTGGGTGTTTAGGAGCTAAATGCTGCACTATGTTGACCAGCCAGTTGCTAACTGGCACTGAACAGGTGGTATAGTGTTTTTTTTTATTCTTTTTTGTTTAAAAACCTCTACCATTGCAGCCTAAAACACCACTGATGAAAGCTGTGAGAATGACTCAAAACTCTAGAGCTTCAGAGCCAAAAAACCCCAAGAGTCAGCTGACTGCCATTTCAGCCATTTTGGACCTCTGAATTACTTTGCTTAGCATTAATATCTCACTGGGCAACAGCTGTATGGTACATTTGTCATATCTGTCATGTCACTGCCACACATTAATTTCACTAAAAGGATTTGTTTCCCACTGTCATAAGGATACATCTCATCCCCAGTGACATAACAGTGTTATCCCACATATTAATATAATCCTGTGGGGAGGTGATCATTTGTCTTGTCAAAATTAATCCATCTTGTGGAAGTAAAGAAAGTTTTTTTTTCTTTTATTCTTTTCTTTTTTGCTAGGAGCAAGTAGGGGGATTACACTATTATGATAAAATGTTTTGGCTATATCTTAACTCGGGCTGCTGGACCAGCCATTCTAATCCTGGATGATAATACAGCTGCAGCATTATCTAATGAAAACCACACATTGCATGCTACAGACATACACTGAGAGCATCATGAATATGAAGCCTCACACAGACACACACACAAACACTGTTTGGCTTGTAAACTGTTAAATACAGTTTCACACTCATCATAGAATGTGCTCACTTTAATACAAATGTGTCTGAGTCTGGCACAATGAGTTAGGTTGGTGTGTAGTACTTCAGTGGCTGCTGCTACCTGCTACATAATGCTGTAAACACACACACAGACATGCAGACACAGAGAGAGCCCCAGTGGTCCTCTCCACACCTTAGTAAAGGCAGATTGGCAAACTAGCCCCTTCCTCACAGAAGGCCCCCTATTGGTTAACCAGCACTCTGTTGCTAGGGAACTGCTTTTGCCTTGCTGTAACGATGGCCAATCAGTGGGTGTGTCAGTGACAAAGGGGCGGGGGGGTGGGTGGAGGTGGATCTGTGTGTGTGTGTTTGCAGCTGCAGAGAAGCAAGTGAGTTTGTTTAAGACAGGTTCACAGCATACACAGATGCTATGGTATTCAGAGACACCGTGGAAACTCTGGGGCTGCACAGACAATGCAGCCACACACACAGGTCCTCAAAATCAGGGAAACTTTTCTATATGGTGCCTTTTGTACAAGACTGTGCATTGTATAGCAACTATAAAAAGACACTTTTACTGTATCTAGCATAGCATGAAACCTCTGGACCAGAATAACACTGTGTCTCACCATCCACTTCCTAGAGCTTATATGTATAGACAGCTAAGCCTTTCATGACCCACAATAACAAAGCTTA